TCATGTCTGTGAGTAGTTGTCTTCGGGCTCCCGCCTCTTTCAAAACCTCTTGGTTGCTCTTTTTGGCTGTCCAAGGTATTCTAAGCATTCTTCTGTAAAACCACATCTCCAAGGCCTCCAGAAATTGTTTGGCCTGCCTACCGATTGTCCAGGATTCACAGCCATATGTTAAAACTGGATGTATGTAGCAAGCAAGAATTTTTTTTTTTAAACTCTCAATGACAAAGATATATTGAATAAGATGTTCTTCATTTTATAAATGCAATTTTTGCCTGTTGTATTCTGTTTCTTATCTCAGTTATGCATCTTCCATCTGATGTTATCCATGTGGCCAGATACTTAAATTTCTGTACTTGTCCCAAAATAACACCATCAACTTTTATTACACATAAATATATATACACTCATCAATAAATAAAATGTATTTACGGAGAATAAGATGTTCAGTATAGAGAATACTTACAGGCCACTCAAATTCAGCAGTGCCATGAATACGTCTGGTTCTATATAGCTGATTTTGTTGCCACTGAGATGCCTGTTTGATTTTAGATATTTGAAAAAAAAAGTGTTTTAATGTTACAAACACATTACATAATTTTCTTTTTTTTTTATTCTTGTGCATTTACCCTTAAAGAAGTGGTTGGCATATTTTATTGTGATTTTCAGCTAGGCTGCAATATCTCCACATTTCAGGCCAACAGATCCGATTTGTAGTCTTCTGTGAGACTCTTTTTTAGGAGGGCAGCAGATCTATTCGTCTTTCCCTAAAATGGGGTCCTGAACATATACAGATTAACAATTTCAAAATTGTATTGGCCATTCTGGAAAGCCAACCTGGCAAATAAATGCCCAATGAAGATGGATGTGTCAACTGAAAAGTGTAAATATTGCAGCTTTGCAATTACATCACTTGGGCAGACGATAAAGAAGAAGTATTGTTTCCTGACTGGCAAAAGAGGCAGACAAGGCAGATAGACTAGACAGACAAGTAGGCAGGCATACATATAGACAGACCAAGAGACAAAGACTAACAACAGCTAACAGGACAGACAAACAACAGCCAACAAGATAGAAAATCAGACAGACAGACTAGAACAAAGACAGACAGATGTATAACAGACATTCTTTATCTTTAATCTGTATTCTGTTCAAGACTAATACCACAACCTTCATCTTTTCTATCCTCTTTCTTTATCCTCTTTCTTTATCCTCTTTCTTTATCCTCTTTCTTTATCCTCTTTCTTTATCCTCTTTCTTTATCCTCTTTCTTTATCCTCTTTCTTTATCCTCTTTCTTTATCCTCTTTCTCCTTCTCTCTACTTTTACTCCTGTCATTCTCTGTATCCCTGTTATTTTGTATAAATGAAACAGACAGATAAACAGAGAGGCACACATAATAAGTATAGAAAGTTTACTTCTGTTTGACATATCAACATGTTAGGAAGTCATTTGTAAAACACTTTACGCCTCACAATCTGCCATAAATATTCACAGTCCTTTACTAGTTTTCCTTTCTCATGCAAGTTCACACCCAGTTTGTCTTTATGTCTTGTAGTTGCAAATAAATAATGCCTAATACATGTATGGTTCCTTTACTGTGTTTTCATGTTTTATCAGCAAAAAATTAAAGAAATCTGGCTACACTGGCTATCCGTTATGCCCTGAACCAGTTTGTTTTAATTTGATATATTTTAAGAAAAATGGCAGATTCCAGGAACCTTACCTTAAATTGCAATTATTTATAAACCACTGTGACATGAAAATCTGGCCAAAAGTTAATACATTTTTCATAAATGATCCTGTTTGTAAGTCCGTTTTCTTTGAAATTCAGATGTCAGGTGTCGCAGGCATGGCTAGTGATTAGTTTTAAGGACAGTGTGTGGTTGTTAGCTTGCTGCATGGTGATTTTGTTGAGTTTCAGCATCCATCATCTTCATGGTCTTCCTCTGCCTCTTGATGTTTCAATTATTATTTTATACGCTCTTGAAACTGACGATGCTGGGTTCATTCAGACCAAATGGCCAAACCATTTCAGTCTTTGTTTTTTTCAATCAATCTAATAATAGGTTTGTTCTCATCATTCTAATGATATCTTTATTTCTTTATGTCATTTCTTTTCCTGTCAAACAACATTAAAAGTATAATTATAGTCCAAACTTCCTTTTTTTTCCTCTGTAAATATCTATCTTGTGTCACAGTTTAACAAATGATGAGTAGCTAAGCCAATGGGCGCTCAGTTGCTTGCTGTCACTCCCTGGGTCCATCTTCTTTTAGATTTTTTAATTGTCATACTGTACACTCTCATTGTTGGCACTGTTGGTTTAATTGTCATACTGTACATTCTCATTGTTGGCACTGTTGGTTTAATTGTCATACTGTACATTTTCATTGCTGGCACTGTTGGTTTAATTGTCATACTGTACACTCTCATTGTTGGCACTGTTGGTTTATTTGTCATACTGTACATTCTCCTTGTTGGCACTGTTGGTTTAATTGTCATACTGTACATTCTCATTGTTGGCACTGTTGGTTTAATTGTCATACTGTACATTCTCATTGTTGGCACTGTTGGTTTAATTGTCATACTGTACATTCTCATTGCTGGCACTGTTGGTTTAATTGTCATACTGTACATTCTCATTGCTGGCACTGTTGGTTTAATTGTCATACTGTACATTCTCATTGTTGGCACTGTTGGTTTAATTGTCATACTGTACATTCTCATTGTTGGCACTGTTGGTTTAATTATCATACTGTACATTCTCATTGTTGGCACTGTTGGTTTAATTGTCATACTGTACATTCTCATTGTTGGCACTGTTGGTTTAATTGTCATACTGTACATTCTCATTGCTGGCACTGTTGGTTTAATTGTCATACTGTACATTCTCATTGTTGGCACTGTTGGTTTAATTGTCATACTGTACATTCTCATTGTTGGCACTGTTGGTTTAATTGTCATACTGTACATTCTCATTGCTGGCACTGTTGGTTTAATTGTCATACTGTACATTCTCATTGTTGGCACTGTTGGTTTAATTGTCATACTGTACATTCTCATTGTTGGCACTGTTGGTTTAATTGTCATACTGTACATTCTCATTGCTGGCACTGTTGGTTTAATTGTCATACTGTACACTCTCATTGTTGGCACTGTTGGTTTATTTGTCATACTGTACATTCTCCTTGTTGGCACTGTTGGTTTAATTGTCATACTGTACATTCTCATTGTTGGCACTGTTGGTTTAATTGTCATACTGTACATTCTCATTGTTGGCACTGTTGGTTTAATTGTCATACTGTACATTCTCATTGTTGGCACTGTTGGTTTAATTGTCATACTGTACATTCTCATTGCTGGCACTGTTGGTTTAATTGTCATACTGTACATTCTCATTGTTGGCACTGTTGGTTTAATTGTCATACTGTACATTCTCATTGTTGGCACTGTTGGTTTAATTATCATACTGTACATTCTCATTGTTGGCACTGTTGGTTTAATTGTCATACTGTACATTCTCATTGTTGGCACTGTTGGTTTAATTGTTATACTGTACATTCTTTTTGTTGGCATTGTTGGTTGAATTGTCATACTGTACATTCTCATTGTTGGCACTGTTGGTTTAATTGTCATACTGTACATTCTCATTGTTGGCACTGTTGGTTTAATTGTCATACTGTACATTCTCATTGTTGGCACTGTTGGTTTAATTGTCATACTGTACATTCTCATTGTTGGCATTGTTGGTTTAATTGTCAAACTGTACATTCTCATTGTTGGCACTGTTGGTTTAATTGTCATACTGTACATTCTCATTGTTGGCACTGTTGGTTTAATTGTCATACTGTACATTCTCATTGTTGGCATTGTTGGTTTAATTGTCAAACTGTACATTCTCATTGTTGGCACTGTTGGTTTAATTGTCAAACTGTACATTCTCATTGTTGGCACTGTTGGTTTAATTGTCATACTGTACATTCTCATTGTTGGCACTGTTGGTTTAATTGTCATACTGTACATTCTCATTGTTGGCACTGTTGGTTTAATTGTCATACTGTACATTCTCATTGTTGGCACTGTTGGTTTAATTGTCATACTGTACATTCTCATTGTTGGCACTGTTGTATTCACTCTTTCTAGGTGGGCAAAATATTCAGTCTTATAGACTAATAGGAACCAAACTATCAATTTTTTTAACAAAAGTAAAATAATTGTAAGTGTAAAACCTACTATTAGTGCCTGTATTTATAACTTTTGCAGTGCAGGCAGGGAAGGAGAAGGGGCGGGGATTTAGGGGCCAGATGGCTAGTGATATCAAAACGGGCTGTGCAGGTTAGGATTTAATTTTTGTCTTCGACAGAAAATTTTTTTTTTCAACCTTACCAAAGATTTGAACCCGGATCTCCCACATGACAGCCCTGCATTCTTAACCGTCTGGCCGCTCCTTAATTATAGTGTAATAGGAGTGACATAAATTAATATTCATTGTCCTAACCCGCAAAGGGAAAGTCACTTTGGCGTTGGCGGCTAGACACCCGTGTGGATCGAAAGGAGGTAGGTTCGTGTCCTGACGGAGCCGGATTTAAAAAAAAATGACCTTGACTCTCAGGTCGCCCCAGCCTTAAGTGGGTACCAGGTACAGTCCTGGGAAGTTAAGGTTGCCGGCGTGATGCACATCACCCACCAAGTGTTGATTGTTCTATAAAAGTATAGATTTAGCCCTATATTCTTAAAGGCGTGGAAAAAGGACCTTTACTTCACTCTTACCCTCACAGGACAGCATGTTACACCCGGCTGGCGTAGCTGTTACAAGTGCCCTAATTATAGCTTCTCCGAAGGCTGAATGGGGTATCTGGAATCCTCCATATGGAGATTTTAAAAATCTCAGGTTGGCATAGTAAACCCTTATTTAGCATCCTAGAGGGCACAAAGTGATCGATCGATCAATTAATATTAATTGTAAACAGTTCAACACAAGCACAAGTTATCAGTAACTTACAGCTGTCTCAACATAGACAAACGATGAAATGTTCCATTTTTTAGGATGGTCAAATTGTTGTCTCCAAGGTGCCTAGAGCAAAAATGTTTTAAAAAAAAAACACGCACATGAATTAAAAAAATTAAAAGGCTTGTATCATGCACTGGAACAAATACAAAGCAAATATTTTCAGGACTAAACACAGTAAGTAAACAGTCATTGTCAGATGGATAGATTTTGGTTTACCATTGAGTAAGGTAACACATCCTAACAGAAAATTACACTAAAGTTAGGGGTGCCAAGCCGATAGACATAGATAGTCCAGAAAGGTGTCACAGCGGAACCTGAATACTCTAGCACCACACAACTACTCCCTAAATTTGTAAGCAGATGGATTTTATCGTACATTTGAAGTTACCCTGGTAGTCAGTGACGACGGTGAGCTTCCGGCGGCCATGAAACAGAGACAATGTATCAAAGAAACTGTTCACATTTCAGTTGAATTTATTCATTTGTGCTTGATTTTATGTTGATGTAACTCTGTAGTAACGCACCTGATGAGATACAGCGAAATATGCCTGGCAATAAATTGTGCAATGTATTGTTTGTATCTGCATTATTTAAATTCATTACGGAAAAACATTGTTTTGAATACTCCCTAAATTACCAGTGTCTAAAAATAGTAATATTAAATGTTGATTTTTTTTTTCTGGCTTTTGAATACCAGGCAAGCACAGTATCTTCACCTCAAAGGAGCCCACACCAACTTCTAGTTTGTGGTTCTTTAGCCTCAACTTGTGAAACCAGGAGAAGAGTGCGGAGGGAAAACTCAGCTAACCTAAACCAGGGAAAAGACACACACAAAAAAATACATGACAGCGGTACAGCAAGAATATGAGACTAGACTCATATTTTTTTATAGAACAATCCGTCCTCAAAGTGGTCAACATCACACCCGCCAGTTTTTATTTCCCAGGACATTTCCTGATGTCAAAAATAGGCTGGGTTGATCTGGGTGCCAAGTTGAAAAACATTGCAACTTCTGTCTGCCTAACCCAGTCATGAACAGTCTGTAACAGGTCATGCTGTTTTAAAACTTCTTGCTCCACAAATATACTTGCTGGACTGACAGGTATGACCACACTGGACCTTTCTATAGATTTCACCCCTTCTCTGATAAAAAAAATTGGATAACAAAATGCTGCTCCTTTTTGGTGCATGTCAAAAGCGAGGTGGCCATCTTTAAACTGTCATGACATCTCCATGTTTGTCTGCATGTTACAACATAGGCTTATGAATCTTGATATCCTTAACAATAATATTGATAGGTTACAAGACAATGACATGATCACTGTAACTGCTATCATACTTTTAAAGTTTTCACCTTGTAAAAAAAACACCAATCCCAGTGTAGATTAGAACCCAACACTTTCAGATTGGTTCTCCCATATTTAAAGATATTATATTAATAGATACTTCTTTCTACCAGTTATAAGTATATATCTTTCTTCTCTTCCATTTCTGATTTTCCTCGTACAAACACAGTCCATGACATCCTATTCCCTAAAATGCACTTCAATACATATTTCATTCATGTCTCGCTTAAACACATCTTTATATCGTAGTGTAGGACATTTAAACTCATCTGTACTTCACCGAAGAGGACGTCTTTCAGGACTCTGATGTCACTGTAAATTGGACATATCTGTGCCTGCCTAGTCCTTAAATGTAGCAGCCATTTCAAGGTACCTCTAGTGATTGTTACCATGACGAGTTGGTTATAAAATCTCCTATCCTGGCCTCAAAGGTGGCATAGACGTACTTCACCATGCACTACTCCCATGTCATGCAATCGTGTTAGTGTCAGAAATTTGTCATTATCCAAAACCTTGTCCAAACAACACTTGTGAAATTGCTCTGTCCACGGAGCTAAGATATACATTATCATACAAAATAACGCCACATTTTCCGCTAAAATATAAAAGGGTACTCACAAATATGTCAGTTGCCACATTGTGTCAAAAATATGAACAGGAATCTCTGTCAAGGAGTTGTTACTTAAGTCACTGTAGACAAGAGAAAGAGACACAAGAAATATTAAACATGATTATTAATTAAAGTTATTTTAGAAAAACATATATTATAAAGTTTTACAAATACATCCCATGTTTCAAAATATGCATAATGTATAATTAGCTACTGAAAATATAAGAAGAACTAATGGAACAATACCAATCGTAACTCTTTTAAGTCCCAGGGGGTTTAGCATCACGGGCCCAAGAGGTAGTCAAGTCAGACATAAATCACTGGGCTTCTAAGTAACCTATGAACGCATGAGATGTTCATTGGGATTGAAAGAGTTTAATTCATTGTGAAAGAACAACTGAAACTGTATGACCACCTAGTGAGAATGGACGCAATGATGTTGACAGCGACAACATACAACTTGAAAATGAAAATGCAAAGAGGCAGAGGAAGACCAAGAGGATGAAATGAAGGAGTCACTGGCAGCTAAAGGCTTCACAACATCAGAGCATACCCAGCAGCTGAGCCCGCCCTGGCTCAGCTACCTATCATCTGTTTTATGCCTATTTCCTCACGCAAACCTCTACACCCCAAGACAGAAGAGTAGCGACTAAGTTCCTCAGGCATCTGAAACTGGATGTGTTGGGCCAAAAGATGCAGATACTGCAGCGTAGCTTTAAACCACAACATAATGCTACACGCCAACCATTTTTCTAAAGGTAAATGAAGAAAATACATGAAAGAATAAAAAGAAGAAAGAGAAGAAGAGGCACTCATATTATTTCACTGTAGTTATTGTTCTCTGTGGGCATCTGTTGTGAAATCACATAGGAATGAAAGAGGTATTTTAGTTTTTTAAACATTAGTCAAGGTATTCTATCACTTTAGTATTTAAGATGTCAGTGAGTAGGTGAATTTTCTTACAGAATGAAACATTCCCAGTCCTAGGGAGGCAAATACATAAACAAGGGAAGTAAGAATAAGGAGAGCTCCACAAGGGAGCATACAACAGCAGTAACAGACTCATAAATGTATGTCAGATGTTCATACACAGACTCACATACAAATCATCAATATCATCTTGTGCCCTGCCCACTGGTGTTGGCACCCATGAGTCTCCCCAGATTTTGGTCCTTAGAATTTTGAATAAATTCCACTGATAATATTCTACCAAACCATGGCTTCAGGGCATCAAACATCACCTCTCATGGTCTGCCTCTGCATCTTCATTTATCAATTATCCTATTTTTCGTTATTTGAAGCCCTACTCTGGCTCCAAAAGCACAACATAATAATATCTTCAGTATGGCCCAAAGGCATCACTTCTCGGCCTCTTGGCTAAGATCAAAGTGTATCTCTGCTGCACTGGTCTCGGCAGAGGGACCGGGATCGGTCACAAACCAAGTCATGGGTAAAACCGAATCGGGAAAGCCAAACCTTTGCCGGGTGGTTTTCCCTGTTTAGTCCGGATTCGAACGTAATATCCTCAGAATAGTCAGGCTGCGCATTTTAGGAGACCGACTCAGTTTAAAAAAAAAAAAAAAAGGCCTACTCTGGCTCTTGCCAGGGGCCGCAATATAGCCTGGCCATAAATATGGCCTAAAGACTGAACGCGGTTTCTGGGACCTCTCCATGGCGATCCTCATTCACATGGTGGCACTTTGTGTCAACGGGTGCTTATCACTTGTGTGATGTCCTGGTGGGGTAGAAAGTCAGTCAGTCAGCCTGCCTCTTCTACTGTTGATCTTTCCAATGTTCTCCAATGATTCTCTTTTCACCACATGGCTAAAGAACACTGACTGCCTCTTTCTGACAGTTACATACCAATAATGATTCTTATACTGGCGTCTGTGGCTTAGGTGCTGCCAGGGTGCCAGATTCTATCCCAGCTGCAGACGGTTTGTCTTGCTTTGGTTTCGACAGTGGAACACAGAGCTGACTGTTCAAAAACAATGACAAACTACTGACCATAAAATTTGCCTGGAAAACCACAACAGCCCCCCAAAAAGGCTGGGTTGGTTCTGTAATGTCTTGTAAAGAATATGCAACTAACATAGATCTTACTGACAAGAACACTGCGTGAGAAACTTACAGATATGTGACTTTGTCATAACACTGATCATCAAATGTATGATTCGTCAGTCGGAGCTTGTTGCTTCTGAATCGCCTGAAAAAAAGAAAGAAAACGTATATGTATACCTGTAGAACATAACTTCTTTAAATCTTCTCCTTCTCCTTCTCCTCCTCCACCTCCTACTGCTGCTGCTGCTGCTGCTGCTGCTGCTGCTGCTGCTGCTGCTGCTGCTGCTGCTGCTGCTTCTTCTTCTTCTTCTTCTTCTTCTTCTTCTTCTTCTTCTTCTTCTTCTTCTTCTTCTTCTTCTTCTTCTTCTTCTTCTTCTTCTTCTTCTTCTTCATCTTCTTCTTCTTTGTCCTTATCAGCTGTAAACTCTGGCAAAAAGTGTTCATTGTTTATCCACTTCTGGACTTTAGTCTTGATTCAGAACTTGAGTTTTGAGTGTACATCCATTTTACAAATCTGGCTTTTTGGTATGCAGACTGTTGGTTCCTTGTCTCTGAGGTAGACTTCAAAGGAAACACCTAATTAGTCAACACTTATGACATGCTTGTTGGGGAGACTGGGTATAATTTTATTTTCTGCCCCAGAACCCATACAAGGTGTTATGTGATATAATGTCAAATATCGCCATATCATACGTCCTGACATCATGTCAATTTTCTTATTCCATAATGGAATGCTGTATCAACTTTGTCATGTCATATTGTTTCATATCGCAGCATGTTATACCTTGTCAGTCATCACATACAGTGTCACATCCTGTATTTCACATCATACTGTGTCATACAAGACATTCATGGAATGTCATTTCATACTACATCATATCATAAAGTCCATTTTCAGGCCTTCAGGCCTATTGGGCATATAGGGCTTGACCTACATTACATCATGTCACACAATGTCACACCATGTCATCTCATGTCATCTCATGTCACACCATGTCATCTCATGTCATCTCATGTCACACCATGTCATCTCATGTCATCTCATGTCACACCATGTCATCTCATGTCATCTCATGTCACAACATGTCACACCATGTCACACCATGTCATCTCATGTCCTCTCATGTCATCTCATGTCACACCATGTCATCTCATGTCATACCATGTCATCTTATGTCATATCATGTCATATCATGTCATCTCATGTCACACCATGTCATCTCATGTCACACCATATCATTTCATGTCACACCATGTCATCTCATGTCATAACATGTCATCTCATGTCATCTCATGTCACACCATGCCATCTCATGTCATACCATGTCATCTCATGCCATCTCATGTCACACCATGTCATCTCATGTCACACAATGTCATCTCATGTCATACCATGTCACACAATGTCATCTCATATCACACCATGTCATCTCATGTCACACCATGCTATCTCATGTCACACCATGTCATCTCATGTCACACCATGTCATCTCATGTCATCTCATGCCATCTCATGGCACACCATGTCATCTCATGTCACACCATGTCATCTCATGTCACACCATGTCATCTCATGTCACACCATGTCATCTCATATCACACCATGTCATCTCATGTCACACCATGTCATCTTGTGTCACACCATGTCATCTCATGTCCCACCATGCTTATTCAATATATGTGTGGCTAACCTCTATCAACTAGAAGCCACTCCACCATCTGTGTTGCTCCAAAGCAGCTTATTTAGTATATTTGTACCTCTGTTAATTAGAAGCCACTTCACCATCTGTGGTGCTCCAAAGCAGCTTATTTAGTATATTTCTACCTCTGTTAATTAGAAGCCAATCCACCATCTCTGTTGCTCCAAGGCAGCTTATTCAATATATTTGTACCTCTGTTAACTAGAAGCCACTCCACCATCTCTGTTGCTCCAAGGCAGCTTATTCAATATATTTGTACCTCAGTTAACTAGAAGCCACCCCACCATCTCTGTTGCTCCAAGGCAGCTTATTCATATTTGTAGCTAACCTCTATTAACTAGAAGCCACTCCACCATCTGCCACCCAGTGGATGTGCCTAGTAGGAAAGGCTCCTGTGAGGATGTAAGCAGGCTGTGAGGATGTAAGCAGGCTGTGAGGATGTAAGCAGGCTGTGAGGATGTAAGCAGACTGTGAGGATGTAAGCAGACTGTGAGGATGTAAGCAGGCTGTGAGGATGTAAGCAGGCTGTGAGGATGTAAGCAGGCTGTGAGGATGTAAGCAGGCTGTGAGGATGTAAGCACAGTACACCATGACTGGCTAAAGGAGTCAGAGAAGATGAACTGCCGGCTGAAATAGTTATTAAATGGGGACAAACATGCAAAAGGTGGCTGTGGGATAAAGAAAGAAGATATGCCAGTCAACTCCTACTGGGTATGCTGAGTGAGACTGAGATAGCTGCTGCATTGGAGGGCAGAGCATGAATGGATTGGGCTGATGTGTTCGGATTTTGATAGTCAACAAGTAAAGTGGATAGAGACACAAGGATGGTTGCTGCTGCTTCAGAAGGAGCACAAGTGGACTGGCTGCAACAATGTCTTGATTGGTAATAATTCCTTCGTGGTTTTTTTTTTTAACATACCTTGTCATCAACAGACTTCAATCAAATACCCAGTATGAACCCCAACAACATCATCATCATCATCAATTTCCACTTTTACCATTAAATATCATAAATATCATAGAGAGGGTCAGTTTGCAATCCAATGCTTGATATAAATCAATGGATACTGTAATTCTGTGTTAATGTAGAAGTTCTTTAATGTCATCAATCCATGTCTCTTAGGGTGACCTCTTGCTTTCAAAAAGGATCTCTTGATGTGTAGCACCTGTGTTGGTAGTTGTTGTGAGTGCATTTTAACAAGATGACCAAACCATTTCATCTTCTGTTTCTCAATGAATTTGCTGCATGGTGTTGTTCCCACAGTCTGTCTGAAAGTATCATTTCTCACTTTGTCTCGGATGGGCTTTCCTTAGACTCCTAATTTCATGGTGTTAATTGTTGGTCTTTGATAATATCCAAGCTTGGTATTAATAGGATGCCTAAATTTCGCTTGTGCAAACAAAAAGAGCATGCAATGAATTTGGTACATGATGTTGTTCCCACAGTCCATCATTTCTCACTTTGTCTCGGATGGGCTTTCCTCAGACCCCTAATTTCATGGTGTTAATTGTTGGTCTTTGATAATATCCAAGCTTGGTATTGGTAGGATGCCCAAATTTTGCTTGTGCTAACAAAAAGAACATGCAATGAATTTGAAACTGCTGTGGTAATCCCATAGCTAATCATGAATTTCTGGTGATGATATGTACAAAGTATCTAGAGACAGATCGATCTGTGTATTTTAGTAGAAATGATTCAACATTTGTGCTTCAGTATACAATGATGGACTTCTGTAGTAAGGAACCTTAGAAGATACAGTCAAATATGCCAGCCAGTCAAGTGTGCGATGTAGTTTTTTGTGTCTGCATTATTTAATTATTAAAATGACTTTTATCTGTGCCAAACAATTTGTGACCTGTGGTTGTGTCTTCCTTTAACTCTTTAAAGACTTTTTGACAGTATACTGGCAAATGAATTTATCCCTAATGGACTAATTGCCAGTATACTGGCGTATCATAGAGACACTCTAAATTTGTTCCGCTTGTAGGGAAAATGAACTTTTATGAACAAGTTTTTGAACAAATAGGATTAATAACAGGAAGTCCTTTCGTTTGTGAAGTTTATCATTGTTGGTGCATTATTTTCTGATTTTAAAAAAATTATTCAGATAAGATTCAATTTTTACATGATTTTTCTATACTAAATGATAAGGGAAAAGGTCTAGAACTGTTCATACGGCTCTGTCGTTGATCAGTCTCTGCCAGATGGTGACAACAGTCTTGATATTATGACTGATATCTAAGTGACAAACCTATTGGCGATAATTTAGTTTAGGATATGAAAATTGAACAGAATATTTCATTCGGATCAATGTTTCGATCAGCTGTTTTCCTGATTTTTCGGTTGTTGTGAAATTTGACACGTCATGTAAAAATGATCATAGCATCAAAAGTATTTATATTTATTATTTCCAATAAAGACTTGCTGATACATAATTGAATTGAACAGAGAAGGCATGTGCATTCTTAGAACTGCATAGCAGTGTTGTTGAACAAGTAAACAAGCAAGGTAAGCACACAATTTTGTTATGTCAATAATCTTCATATGAGTATAAAAACCTTGAATGTTGTATGATTTTAATAATGTTTTGTTGTAATACTGACATTTAAAGAGTTTAGATTTATCCTGCACTTGTTTATCTTTAATTTGATATATTATATGTCCCGATACACCCAATATATTTTTTTCATGAAAGTTTTAGCTTTGTTTTGTTGCAGTAAACAAATTCCGCTCAAAATTAATGTTGTCCAAACTAATGTTGTCCAAACCCACCCCCCCCCCCCCCCAAAAAAAAATGTGTTCGTGAAATAGTTAAGCCCTAATCATCAAATAATTTGTTTTTTCGTTCATTTCTCATTTCACATTTGGTCAGAGATCTAAAATCTGGCTGTCATGTAAGCACTATATATTAAACCTATTTAAGAATGATGTTCACACTCACAATATTACATAAGCTGTATTATTCACATTTTGACATCTGCTTTAAAATGGCTTGGGTATATATATAGGTCAGAATATCTTGGACAAGGAAGATGAGAAATATTGACATCTTAAAAAATCTGAACATCAAGGAAGATTGGCTAATAAACAGCATCCATTCTCAAAAGCTGAAATATTTTGGTCATATCAAGCGCCACGACTGATTGGAAAAAATTATAGCAGAAGGCACAGTACAAGGAAGGAGGGGCAGGGGCCGACCGACACGAAGATGGGCACAGGATATAAGTGACTCCTTGAGTGTGAAAGTGCATGAGGCGGGAGAACTGGCAAGAGACCAAGTTTCTTTCAGGCAGACTGTGATGAGAGTGACGTTCTGCAAAGGACCTGCTACATGATGATGATGTATTGGTCAGAAAATTCAAATTTATTTAAAAAAAAATTGCATAACATCTAGGGAAAGAAACAGAACGATTAACTCACTGAGTACCAAATGAATGTGCAGGGAAATTCCCTTTGTGCAAATAACCAATAGGACAAACCAAGAGTATATTTAAAAAAAAAAAAAGCTAAGTACTTTGAGAGCCAGATTTTCTTAATATGCTCTGGTCAAATGTAAATAAAATGAAAACATAACATTTTAGGTGGGATTCACAGAGGATCTAACCACGCTTTGTACATTTTTGGGGACAAAAAGAGTTTACAAACAAAATGATACAGAAATGGTAATCACTAGTACAACATCGATTTACCTACAACTTGGAATAGTGCTCCATTTCAATCTGTGGTGGAATGGTCACCAGCTGCTTCTTCTCACAGTTCATCTCATCACCTCTACAGACGCAGACTTCTGAGTTCAGGGGGCAGGGAAAGTCTGTAGATTACATATGTGACACAGAGATTAAAAAACAGGTAGCTCACTAACTCAGCGTGGTAGGGGGAAAAGTCACAAACTCTGCAAGATGGGAGCAGCACAGGTTTCTCCATTTTCGCAGCATTCACCGGATGTAAACTCTGGCAGAAAGTTCTGGTTATTCGTCCACTTCTGGACTTTGGACTTGTTCTAGGACTTGAATGAATCACGGCACTTCATTTGTCCTGCTGGGCATGTATGATTTGCTGTCGAGTGTAAACATCAGTGAATGTCAAGGACCAGTTTCCCGTCTAAACCCCTTTGCCACAGGACACTATTTAAAATAGGTCATGACCCCATGAGAATTCTCAAAAAAAAAAAAAAAAAAAAAAAAAAAATTTCGAAACGAATTAATTTTTATTATTTATTAATTTTATTATTTATGTACATTAAAAATTTTTTTCCTCTGAATATATAAAGATA